TCTTATAAGTTATTTAAAATTCAATTTTAAATTTTTCTGTAGTTTATTTGGACCGAAGTGCTCAGTTTCAGGTTTACATGTTGCCTCCTTGTGCAGATGCCCGGACGATATCTGGTCATGTAACTGAGCACTTTGATCAAATCAATCGACGGTGAAATCTAGACTGGATGCATCTGCGCTAGCCATTGAGAACGATTTTGAGCCATATCTTGCTTTGTACACTTTTACATATTCGTGTTCACATACTTGTTCGCACACTCGTACCATTCCACTCACACACTTGTGTGACATTTATTTTCCTGGTCTGGAAAATACAAGTATCATCATAAACCTGGTGGTCTTCTGATTTCCTTCTTTCTGCGTCAGGACTATTAACTACTCGACGAGTACATAACATAATTGGCGACGGGGAGAACTACGATTAGCCACTCAGCAGCAGTACATAACACCCTATGTCAGCTAACATTGCCCGTCGAGGAAGGCGATCGCTAGGCGTGCATGCGTAACGCATGTCCTAACCATCTCAGTCGATGTAGCTTCACAGACTCGTCGATTGATTTCCCCTCCTTATCAAGCACTTGACCAAAGCCTAACCTCAATATTGCTCACCTTATTATACCACTTCACAAAGGAGATAGAACGCACACACCCATGATCAAAGACAGCTAGCCTTTTCATTTCCTCTACTCTCAAAAGCCAGGTCTCACAGCCATAAAAGAGGACGGAGCAGTATACCCGCCCTTTGGTTGACAGCCAACCGGATATCACTTCTACGACAGAGACGGCGTAAACTGACATATACGGAACGAGCCTTCTGTATCCGTGCTAAGATTTCCTCAGCTATCAACCTGTTTGCACTAGCTGATGGTACTTCCAAAATAAGTGAAGTGGTCAACACGCTCACTCCCTATTTCTAAGCTGAGAGTTAATGAAGTCCAGTCCTGCAGCATCATCTTACATTTGGCGGAAGCGAATCGTATGCCAAACATTTTAAGATTGCATCACATGGTGTTCAGAAGATTCTGCATTTTGTCAGCATCTTTACTTAGAAGGGAGGACTATATCATCTGCATATTCTAAGTCAACGATATCATTCCCTGGTAACGAGTCAATGCCTGAGTCTCTGAAGTGAGTTAGGGTTAAGTCCATTAGTACATCTATGATGAAATTGAATAGAAATGGGGATAGTGAACATCCCCACTGGTTATTACCACTACACCCGTAAGCTCTCACCTGGCTGACTGCATGAGTTCGAGTAGAGTGCCTTGATCAATGCAATGAATCTTCCCGACATCCCTTTCACAACCAAACATCGCCAGAGTACCTCTCGATCGACGAAATAGAATTTCTCTTCCAAGTCAAGAAACATGACAATTATTGGATGTCTGTAAGTACGCCCATGTTCCAGAATCTGTCGAAGGGTCAAGATATGATCAATACACCCTCTTCCGGTCTAAAGGCTGCCTGGTTCTCTCGTGTTTTTTCCTTCCGTATACTGCTTAGTCTACGCATGATTATTGAGCCTGGGACTTTAGATACTATATTAGTCAAGCTAATCCCTCTGCGATTATCACATGAAGGCTTGTCTCCCTTCTTATTTGTGGGGATAATCAATGACTAACACCAACCTGACGGGACTTCCTCTGATAACCAAACGCTGCCTAGCACCTTAGTTACCGCGGATAGTAAGCTGTCTCCACCGTACTTAAATACCTCTGGAGTCATTCCACTAGGTCCTACTGCTTTACCTTGTTTCAGACTAGTGGCAGTCTTAGTAACCTCATTTTAGGGACGGAAGATATGTGTCTAAATCCTATTCAGGGGGTGTTGGATGTTAAGCAGGTTAAATGTGGCTGTGAGCCAAATAAACTGCTCCTCAAAGTGCTCTTTCCAGCGTTCCAGTCGTCTATCCTGGGAGGTAATTATGGTGCCATTTTCCCAGAGACTGTTTCACTTATCATTTGCGTTTTTCACATGTTTCCCTGATAAGCCTAAATAGTTGTCTGGTGTTACCAATCGTCGATGCCTTTTCCAGCTCTTTCGCTTTTGTCGCCCACCACTGCTCCCAGTCGTTGCGAAGACTTCTTGTTAGTTTTCGTTTGAGTAGCTTTGGCTCCTCATCATAATCGGAGCTCGCCGGAATCAGTCTTCTTGAGTCAATCGGTTCGGATGAGGCGGTAGAGATCCAATAGCTCTTACTAACTTTTGGTCTTAATTTATTAACAGCTGTCTACAGCTAACTGTATGTTGTGCCAGGCTACCTCAGGAGAAGTCTTGCTGTCGACCTCAGATACATATTTTGCTATTTCCTCCTTAAATAGGGACTCACAGTCTCGACCTAGTTGGGGATGTAACTGTTTCGCCGCAGTCAACTTCTTATGTCCGGAAATTTATTTAGTGGAATCAACTTAAAATACATGTAATAGGAATGATTCAACATCTGTCTCAGACATCTGGAAAATTCTACTACCCCAACGACGACAAATAGGAAAGAGTAAAGAAAACTTTAAAATGAAAGTTTTGAAATTGTCTAGTTATAATTGACATGATTGTGAACAGTAATAAATTGCGTTCGAGACTTTGTCATTCAGTAAATAATGATGTTTCACTATGTGATATATGCAATAAACTAACTAATTACTGACATTTTACTCTAATTCATCCTTTTTAATTGGCTCGACGAGTGCCCATAATCTTTCATGTCGTAATCATACGATCTCCTCCATATCACCGTCGGACTAGCAATCAACTCGGTACTTATCATTCAGATACCAACCCAGGGTCTAGTGCGTGATTTCACTAAGTGGTTTCCTCAGATTGTATCCAGTCGACAAGTTTTTGACTGATTCATTGCCACAGTTCTTTCTTAATTATTCCTTTTGACTAGCCATCTGAAATTCAGTATCGAATGAATTCAGTTGGTGATGAAAGACTGAAGTGGCCTGTTTGACGCCAGAGCTAAGTTGACATAAGAATAGAACTTGTGCATTATGGTAGAGTATAATTCCATTATGAGTAAAATTTATTTCGATAAAGTCCCACAGTGTCATACAGTAATATTTACTGATGACATTTCTAGCACAATTTGTCATTGCCATTCATAATCATATCAAGGCACTACTCATACAACTTTCTAACTTCGTTTATATAATTCCATTATTTTCCATCGCTTCACTTGATTGGTACTAGTATTTTCCATATTTCCGGTATGAGTGATGAGTCATTCCTATTGCACGTGTTTGGTGTAGACTCGATGAACAAGGATTCAGTAATCAACCTCTCTCTCCACCTATCTAGATTAATTTTTAGAATTTAAACTCTCTCCCATCCTATTGTGTGGTTGTGTGTTAATGCATGCATTGCAATTGCTGAGCTTTTTTCTAAATTACTTATTTTTTCAGGGTCAATCTTAGCTAAATTCTTATGTTCTGACAATCTGACTACCCCTGACCTACTAGTTTCATCTGAAGCCATGCACACTTTAACTACATCAAATGCAGTGAATAGGAAAGAAGGTGCACACTTATCACCTGTTTGGCAAACTCTACTGAAGCAAAACAGATGAAAAAACAACAGAAACCCCCTATAAACTTCCATGACCTTCAAAGAATGTATTACCGTGTTTATCACACGTGAATTGACGTTTTTTCCATAGGACAAATAACACACTCACACACATACAGACATATACACACAACAATCTGACATTTGTGATTACAAATACATGATAACTGCTAACATGTCTGTCGGCACAAATGTCCATTGACAAGCGTGAAGTGGTCGCGTTCGCTTGGTGGACGCGTTATGCCGTGAATTGGCAGAAGTTAGAATTCATGGGCCATTGGATCGGGTCCCATTGGCTCAATGGTTTACAAGCTTGCCCTGTAACCAAAGGGTCCTGGGTTCGAACCCTGGTGGTGGGTGGGTGCATACTGGTGAGGAGTCCCACACTAGGACGAAACAGCTGTCCAGTACCCACAGGTTTTCCAGTGGTTCTCTAACTGATGTCAGCTCATGATGAAATCCTCCATCCAATCAAAAAAAGTTCTGACTATAGATTTTGATGATTAATAAAATCCGAATAAATTTGCTGAAGAAGCTGTGGTTTACATAGAGAAAGGTTCGGAAAAATCGTATACATACATACATATAGTCTTCAGTGGTTTAATTGAGAATCGAAAAAATTTTACAATGATTCTGCAAATTAATTATTTACAACTAATAAACACTTAAGAACTATATACAATACACAGAGGTAGAATAAGTGTCTTCAAAAACATGTGTGAATTCCACATTACACCTGCCCACTATCAACCAAGGAGATGCATTGAAGTATCCTAAAAGGGAAACAAATTTTTAGTGAGCAAGGTAGTAATCAACAGTCACACTTATGACATAATAAACGGGTTAATTCAGCTGTGAAAATTTTCATAATTATTAAGCAAAAATCAAATTACTTATTTATTAATCAATGGTCACACTTAAGGTCAATTTTTTAAACGTAAGAATTTCCCCTACTAATATAATAACAATTGCGAGATTATAGAAAAGCCATTAACTGTTCAACCAACTGTCTACATAAACAGATAATTCACATGATTAACAGTATTAATTATCACAAGGTTTACAGTTACACGCTGCTGGCAGTTGCATTATAAATTTTTATAGCATTCATTTAATTAAATTATCACTTACGTCAGAGCTTCTCTGGTTACTCTTCTTATTGTCTACAGCAACCTGTAAAAGTTAAATCAGAATTTCATTGAGTGACATAGATACACTGAAACTGTTTGTAGTAAAGTAATTTTAATTAACCTAAAAATGTCTACTTACTCTTCGCCGGCTTCCTCTTTTAGCTACGCGATCACGTACATCGTGGAAGTATGCCATAGTGCAGGCTTTCAAAGTCTTCCGCAATTCTTCCTCGGACATTGTGGCAGAAACGAAGTTGCTAATAATGATGGCTGAAAGACATAATTCAATAAAAACAAGCTTACACGTTATGACTTTATAGAATCTGCATTTAGTTACAGCTAACTTCGTTGGTGTTCCATATGCTGTGAAGCGACTTGACAGCTTAGGCTCCAAAATGTAATTAAGCATTTTTCTCAACGAAGACTGTGGACTACATGATAGATTGCCGACCATTTTCGTCATCTAAACGTAATCAATGGTTAAATGTAAACCTACGAATGAATCTCTGAATTCTGAGATTTTCAGTGACACTTCAAGTTGGTTTACCTCTTCTTCAGTCGCCAAAGGGAATTCCAGTTGACTATTGTCAATAGAGGACCTACTGGTTTCTAAGACGGATACGTTGCCGGACCTAATAAGTGAAACCAACTGCGTCACCATTTTCATTAGGGATTGCACTTCTCCTTTAAGTGACTGAACTTCTCCTTTAAGTGACTGAACTTCTCCTTTAAGTGACTGAATTTCTCCTTTAAGGGACTGTAACTCGATAACAATTTTGTTATGAGAATCCGTGATACTGCAAAGTAATTAGTAATTTAAGATAACATACTTAGTCTGCAGAATTTGCTGTGTGACTGGTGATGACGTAGCCACTGGTCTTTGTTGACTGGAAGTGCTGAAGCAATAAGAATATCAAATCAGTGAGATACTTGGCTATAGACGATACCAGAGTTTCCTGGAAATTTGTGTCAGGGTATTCATATGGCCAACACACTTTCTGTGCCTTCACTGCCTCTAGTTCCTCGCAGTCATTAACGCAAGAGTAATCCTTTTCCTCCATTCTGCATTACGTCATTAAGTAGGAAGAATCTACCGTTGATGTTTGGTATTGGTTAGCGACAAGGTCTCCTCGAGATTACCTGACCTGTTCATATTTGTCATTTTCTGTAAGGCTGACAGAATATCCTTGGCCTCTAGAAAAGTTTCTAATAACGGGAATGTAGTTAATACCAAAATACTTACCTTTCTCGACTAGTATCTGACAGGGAACAATGAGCCAATTCGGTGCAGGGTCTACACATGCTTCGACTTCAGATTCTGTTACACTGCTGTGATAAATACACTGATCATCCCTCAGCATCCACTTTTTGGCGGCTATGAAGTATTCATTTACACCAGGTTTTCTTAACACAAGGTATGTCTTCTTTAGTCTGTTGTAAGGTGTTTGGCTGCTGCAAAGTGATGATGGCACTACCTCGGTTTCCATCGTTATGGTGTCAATGTTCACTGAAGAAGGTTCAACGTCCGCAGGGAGGACAGTAGCCTCCGTTGACGTCGACGCAGCCTTGAACTCGGCCATTACCTGCGCATAGTTACGTTTATACCTTCTGTAAAATGTCGTGTAATGGCAGGTCAATTGTAGGTTACGCTCACGTAATCTTTTCAGGCTTAATATAGGGTATCTAGTGTTAGACTAGGAGAAAAATTATAAATGAGCCACAGAAACCGCTTACCTTCATCGTGAACAGTTTAAAAGTGCGCGCACAATATGTGACTGTAAGCAAAGTAAACAAAATATTTTGTTACGCTGAGATAAACATTGACCACTTATGCTGTCATGAACTCCACTGATTGGTCAGTAAGCATGAACCCACATATAACACCTTTTTTGATAAACGATGAGTCACGTGAGTGACACTATTAGCAAGTACATTGACCCTTATATTATCAATGTTAAACTGACAATAACAAGTCACAGGTCTATCTCTCAGTGTGACTGCACTCTAATGTTATCGGCCACTACTCTTCATGTATATACACTTACGCACAACGCCTACATACATACACATATGTGTATGTGTGTGGGTCTGTCTTGATTAGTGTATCTAGACAAACACTTAAGTTGTCAGGTTACTTCCAATGCCATTCTTACTTTTAAGTGTCAGCACTTCCTTCTGTGTTCTTCTTGTCAGATTTCGTGAAAAGATTCGAAAAGAAACATTAGGAAAAATGCATCAATTGAAGTACTGGTAACATAATTTCGGTAGAAAAATTGGACTACCTACAATATATCAGTAACCTCCCGCGTACAGTAAACTTTTTCATGGTTTCCCTTCATTATCCCACTGAATAGGGTTTTTTCCCCTTTAAAAGAAAATAGCCCCTTTTCTTCCCCACGTCTGCCCGATTGAGTTTGTTCGATCGTCATAAGCTGCATCACTGATAGATGTCATCTAAGGCACGTAAATAAATACTTATATATATATATATATATATTTGTCACTGCATGGTTGTTCCGTGCTAGTAAGTTGATTAACATGTGGAAAGCTATTTATGAGCCATTTAAGATCATTGATGCTGTATGCATAGGATGCTGTACAGCGTCTTGTTATCGTGATAGTGGATATTCCAAGGATGCGGAGTCATTACCATTCATATCTTGAAGGATGATACATGAGTAGGTGACTGCAATTTTTGCTCAGCTTCAGTCTAACTGTAGATCTGTACAACTTCTACTACAAGACAAATGGGAGAGAAGAGGTGAGCAGCAAAGTACCAGAGAGGAAAGAAAATGTATATGTGTACCTATATGCTTTTATTTGTTGTAAATTGTCATCTAGTAAACATACTGTAACAACAGAAGACAAGGGCCAGGCAAAAGATCGTTTTATTATGAAAATCAACACGTATTTATATATATTTCACATACATTATTATAACTTATGCAAGTAGACAAGCGCAGTTATCTGATTGGTTGTTTATCAGAAGTTAGGCAGACAAACGCAGGCTTCTGATTGGTTGTTTCGGGATTCCTCGACAAATAGAGTTCTCTATCTGCGAATCATATTTTGCCACGTTAACTTTGCTGTGATTGGTTGTTGAATCAGCCTTGCTCATATTTTCTCACGGCCTGCTCTCACCACAATACTATATTTACTTCTACTCAGTCTTTCTATGGATCTATGCGAATATTTCATTTATCGTTTACAGAGTAATTAGGGTATTTATGCGCGCTTTTAGGTACTGTAGTAAGCTAATAGTTGGTTCGTTGTAGGAGCAAGTGGTTTATTAATGTAATCAGTAGAATGAAACAGCCTCTACAGAGTGCGTATGAAACTTATAACCGAGGTGCATGTTCTGACTTCTAGTCGCAGACTGTTCCATATTTTAGAATACATGACTGTGAAGAAGTTCTCGTGGAGTGTTGATTTAAAGGCCTTTATTGTCACTGTGCAAGTTTGGTTACAGATCGTAAGAGCCTTCTGGTGAGAATAGCATATCCTTATTGTCTGAGAATGACAGTTTGTGTAGGGCCTTAAAGAAGAATACTAGCTTTATAATAAGTCGTCTTGTCCAAAGATTTAGAATCAAGCAGCGTGAGATGTAGTCTTTCTTACAGTCCTAGCCAAGTAGTTTGGACGTGAAATACCGTTGGACACTTTCCATCCTTAGCTTGTCACGTGTAAGAGTGTTCTATTAATAAATGTATCTTTCGGAAATTTCTTTTCAGCAGTGTGTGGAGACTTTAATGCTTGCAGTCACAGCTTTCCCATACCACTTGATCATGAGAACCTAACAAAATTCAATACTTATCAGAGCGAAACCTTAGACTTGGTTTTCGCAAACGATTGTGACATATACGAGGTGCGAAGGAGAGTTTCTTGCCATTGCATTATTAGCAATTTACCGAAAGTCGATGGCAAGTTGGACAGAAGGGTGTCTGTTCGCCTGACAAAGAAAATCCATGAACCATACAATTCATATGACAATATCCGAGCACTGAGAGGTATATCGCATGATTGGGACTTAGTCTTTGATGAAGTGTCAGATGTTAGCATCGCTTGTAACACCTACTATCTCAAGTTCCATTTGGACATTTGCTGTGCTATTAAGACACTGTTCACGAGATTCGGAAGGATCTCTCCCCCACAGCTAGAAAAGCTTGGAAGAAAAAAAGAGAAACTGTACAAATCATATGGTAAGGCAGGTGTTCGAACAATTAACCCTCCGATAAAGGCTAAAATACAACGGCCAAATGGGATATACAAGGAAAAATTTTATTATCCAAGAAAGCTTGTAACATCTGGAAACTTTTTAACCAACTTGCAGGCAGAAAACAAACTTCACTTCATACTTATCCTGATGCAAATGCCTTAACAGATCTTTTACAGTCCAACAAGCTTATATGCTTGAAGCTGAAGTTTTTATTCACCCGACTGATCGTTTCCCTGTTTTTAATGAAAAGGATGTATTCTCATGTCTCAAATCCTTGAACCCGTCGCACAGTCTAGAATCCGATAGCGTACCAAGAATTCTGCCTCAAAAATGTGCTGACATTTTGTGTCATCCCCAGAAACAAATCAATGATGTATCTTTTCACGGGAATACAGTACTTGTTGCCCGGTAACAAATAAAGGCGGTGCTTGCGCTAAAATCATCTTCTGGATCAGGTTTAAAGTTTGGGCTAATCATCACGTCTTCATTTTCTGAGTCTATGGGGAGAAATGTTTTCACATGTTTTGAAACCTCTCTGAAATCTTTTAATGACCCAAAGCGGTTTGCTTACGATTGTAGTAGAAGGACATTGGTTGCTGTCACTGCATTCCACCAAAATATTGTTTCAATTCTCAATATGGGCACAAAGTTCGAGCTTGCTTTTTAAGCTACACTGCTGCTTTTCAATTTATTCCTGGGGCATTTTCACTAAGAAAGCTGATTTCAACAAATACTGAGTCCAGGGTCACACGGTGACTGTCCCCATATTTTTCGGGTAGAAAACAATATTCCGTTTTGGATGAAAAGCTCTCCCCTCTGCTGATAATGGAAACTAGTGTGCCTTAAGGTGCTGCAGTTACTCTCTCCATACCTTTTTCCTTTCTTTTAGCATAGTGTCAATGTAGTTGAAGATTGAACGATCAACTCATGGTTGTTTGCTCAAAACCAACTCAATATTTTTCGCGGGAGTCATTAATCCGGCAGTCATCGTTTCATCGTTCGCTGGTCGTTGGAAGAGAGAAAACTATCCGAGATCTTTTTACAATAACCTTATTGTTGGTTACATTTGTCGCAAGAATAAACCATTCTCTAGTCGCCAATTTGTGTTCTGGTTTTTCGCGTTGGTTATTACACATTGTTTCTGAAATTCTTCCAAGGACAGCGTGAGGTCCAGTTTATTAACACCTGGATATTGACAGTTTCTGATAGTTTCTGTTCGTCTTTCCTCGTATCTGGCAGTCTTCTTTGGACAAGTGTTATCTGGAACTTTTCTGGAACTTTCAGTCAAGTAGAGTAATGCCTGCGTCGAAGAAAGGACAAAGCGTCTTGGAAGCAGACAGGAAAGTAGGTAATGTTGAGTTGCCTGTTATATGTAACGATGAGTGTGATGTTAAGCATGATAAGTTTGATGCTAATGTTCCGCCGTCTAGGGATAATAGGAATTTCAAAATTCCTAAATATTGTAGTGCACATTTTACCCTTGAACTTTTGTTTAAACTCGCTCACCCATGTTCGGCACACTTTTACCTTATGAATTGTGACGCTTCCGTGCGTTCATCGGTTCGCTCTCTCGTTGTGCTTTCATTCTGCACACTCTCTGAGCCCACCTCCAGTGACGTTAACAGATATGTTGTACAACCTCTTTATTGATTGAATTTCATATTTCGTTGTGTAAAATATAATTGTCCCAGATACACTTGTCATACCAAGTCTTTTTACCTTGGTTCAGTTCGTCAGTATTTGCACGTTGAGTAGCGTACAGTTAAGGTCGTAAAACGGTGAAGAAGTTTTGTAAGAGTGTTTAGAGTTGAGGTCTACCCCAAGCTGTAATAGCTCTTACAATATGAACCTCGCTGTTTCGACGGAAACCCAGCTGACTATCCACAGTCTGTAAAGGAGTTTGAAGTCATGTTGGGTGGGCTTGCATTTAATGATGAAATGAAGTTGATGTATTTGATGAGGCACTGCACTGGAGTTGCTTCAAGAGCTATAGAGTGCTGTAACTGCATGCCACCAGATGAAGGATATACTGGGGCCATGAAGATATTACCTCAAAGGTTTGGAAAGCCATTTATGATATCCCGTAGCAGTTTTGAGACCGCCAAAGGTAATGGGGCACAGTTAAGGGACAACCCCGAGGAACTCGCAGAGTTCTTGGATAATTTATTGGTATATAGAAATACCCTCGTTTATCTTAACAATACGGATGTGTTGGACTCAAGTTCGGTGATTGAGACAGTTGTAAAGAAATTACCGGTTCATCCACAAAGGAAGTTCATAAAAGTTAGTTCCCAGCTAGAGGAAGATGGTTTGGGGCCTGGATTCGATGATATTGTGAGGCTGATGAAAGACAGTGTCAACCAAGTGACAGGCAAATTCGCCAGCATTTTGCATTCTAAGGTAGAACCTAAGGAACCGGTGAATATAAAGAAAGCATTTGTAGTGAATGCTCAAGGGACAACGAGAAAGGATGAGTGTATTGTTTGCCATAACCCCCATCATTTGAGTGATTTCAATCGCTTCA